ATCGTAGATCGGATCATCTACCAACACGGCTGTCCGGACCAGATCATCTCCGACAACGGCACCCAGCTCAGATCCAACCAGTTGGAGGGGGTGCTCCGAGCCTTCCGGATAGAGCACCGAACCACGCCGGTGAGAGCACCCCACTGCAACCCGGTGGAACGCACCAACCGGACGCTGAAGACGATGATCGCCCAATACGTGGGCAAGAACCACCGACGATGGGACGAGCAGATCGCCCCATTGCAGTTCGCGTACAACGCAGCCCGGCACGAGGCCACCGGATATACCCCGGCCTATCTGAACTGCGGGAGGGAGCTCGCACTCCCGCATCCGGAGGACCGAAGGCACACGGCGAACGAGGCCCCGCACCATACGAGACGCCGGCTGGAGGAGGCCTACGAGGTGGTGCGCATCAACCTAGCCCGAGGGTTCCAGCGCCAAGAAGCACAGTATAACCTCCGCCGCCGAGCGTGGCGGCCCAGCATCGGCGACCTCGTGTGGAAGAGAGAACACCCACTCTCCAAGAAGGCGACCGGCTTCAATGCCAAGCTCGCCCCGAAATATACCGGCCCGTGGGAAGTACGGAAAATCCGGTCACCCGTTATCGTGGATCTACGCGACACCCGTGGGAGATGGCAGCGACACATCCACGTGCAGGATCTCAAAAACGCGCCCCGCGAAACCCCCCGCCCGCCGCCGACCGAGGACGACGCGGAACCCGAGGTGTAAACAAGCCACCAAGGCCACCTCCGAAAAACACCCGCCGAGCTCGGAGCGTGACGCACGAGAAGAAAAAAAAAACCCCACCACCGAGCTTACCCGATAGCGGCCGCTCCGACACCAGCCAGTATTCGTTCAGAGCTCCGAACGTACACTACGAGCGATGGAACAGCGAAACGAGTTGGAAGAGCTGTTCGGGGATATCTCCGATCTCGACGACCTGTGGCCCGTACCGATCGACCCCGGGCCGACCACCAGCCCGGAAAGCGCCCCGCGGCCCAGGGTGCCAAGCGTGGGCACTCGCATCCAGCGAGGCGACGCGGAAAGCCGTCGGCGGGCGATCTTCCTCACCGAACCAGTGCCGCCGCGGCCCGCCCGACGCCGGTCCGAGCCGATTGGAGGGACCAGGCCGAGCACGCCGAGACGCAGCCGCGCCGAGGAGACCGGATCGAGCCCCGAGATCTCGGCCCTGACGGCCGCAGCGTTGGCCCGAGCCGCCAATCCACCGCGACGAGTGGCCCGACCCCGGGACGCCAGCCAGCCGCCGCCGTCTTCACCGACGCCCCGCCGGACCACCGACATGTCGGGCCCCCCGAGGACCACCGACGGACGGCCGCCGCCAGCCGACCGAGCACCGGCCAACACAGGGCCGCAACCCCCGACGGTGAAACCACGGGCCGCCGCGCCCGCGGCCCCACCGGCGACCACCCGGCCCCCGCCGCCGGCCAACCGACCACCGGCCAGCAAGGAACCACGACCCGCGGCCGGCCGGCCGCGGGTCACCACGACCGCCGTCCCACCGACGACCGCCCGGCCGATCGTCAGCGCCGCCATTCTCGGCCCGAGACCACCAGCAGCTCCGGCCACCGGGAACCGGCCACTCAGGGGGACCCACCAGCCGCCAGGGCCGTCGCCACCACCGCCGCCCGTACCGGTAACCCTACCCTCCGGCGAGAGGGTATCCGTACCATACTTCGCGGCCCACAAGAACCGGAAGTTCCGCGCGCGCACCCCCAGCGCTCTGTGGGTCATCCGGTTCGATACCGAAGGGAGGGTGAGATCATGCACCCGCCGATAGGCCGTATAAGCAGTTAAATAAAATGTTTAAATATGTTAAAAATCATGGTTACATTATTAATACCCCAAAGTACGATTTAAGAATGAAGAGAAAATAAAGAGGGGGGGGTGATGTGA